CTGCAACAAACGTACATAAAGGGCAAGTGCGTCCGTTGATCTGTATCGGATAGGAGACACGTCCGCAATCTGGACTTTACACTGAAGCGGTCAAAAACCTATCTTTTAGATGTCTAAATATGATATGGGTCAGACTCAGTAAGGACCAAAGTCAGCGAAAGCAATAATAAAAAGGTTGTTTTTGATGTTTTTTAAAGTAAATGAACACACTAAAAACCTAAAAGGTTTATTATTTTGATTCAAATTGAGGGCATCCCGCTATACAAACGTATTGCGAAAGTAATCTTTGGGATCTAGACACTTGATTTCAAGCAGAAACAACTTGCAAATCCTTGCAGTTTTTTGGATATGTCACCGCAATCCGGACTAATATCACTCGTTTTAGAGATTTTTTTTTTGGCATTAGAACTAGGTGTTCATGCAGCCAGTCACTAGGCATTATATGAATGATGGATCATCGGTTTGATTTTGGATTCATGTTTTTCCCAAACTGGAAGTCTACTGTTATAGTGGGATGATGCTAGGGATCTTCACAGAGGACACTTCTTCACGCCTCAGGGGTCGGTCAGGGCGACTTCTTACACATGCACAGGTAGACCGCGGTAAGAGAAGGGATATAACAAATACTGAGGCAACAAGGGTATGTGAGGTGATTATAGGTTTACATTGATTGAATGAATAAATTCAGCCAGGCTGTCGTAGATCTCCTTTCTATTAACGCATAATAGATGTATGAAGTTAAAAGGAGTCGGTACATTTAAGTCTGTTACTCTGTTCATTAGTCGCAGAGATTGATTCCTATTGTTCTGACAACCGAAGAATAAGTGGTCGAGATTTCCAATTTCATTACATCTTGTGCATAGGTCAGTGACCAGTACGCCAATCCGATTTAGATGCTCTGGGTAACATGCGTGTCCAAATCTGATCCTGATCAGTGTCGTTAAGGTTTTTCTGTTGTATTTGTAATTACTAAACCAGGTGGATCTAGGGATTTCGGGTTGTATTAATACATATCTATTTATTCTTGAGTTTTTATATTTCTCCCATATTGTTTCCCAATCCGTTCTCGTTTGTTTTTTTTGTAAATGAATATATTCATCTATGGGGAGAAGGTGGTCCAAGATTTCTCCAGACGTAATGCTTTCCTTGGCCAATCTATCAACCCTCTCATTAAGCTTAATTCCGACATGGGCTTTTACCCATACCAACTTTATTTTGTAGTTTTTGGCATTTAGTTTATGAAGGAACTGCTTTATTTTCAAGATGTATGGGTTAATATAAGGGTTATTTATGTCGACTGAATTAGCTATACTTTGCAGGACTGACAAACTGTCTGATATTAGAATCCCTTTGATAATTATCTTGAAATCTAAGTATTCCAAGGCTTTGAGAATAGCAATGACTTCAGCTGTGAATATAGATGTAAGACTGTTCAATTTGAGTTTTGATGAATGTCCACTGGGTTGTACTATAAAGGCACAACCGGTTCCTTTGCTGTCTTTAGAAGCGTCAGTATAGATGTTAACGAATTCTGGATACGGATTCAGCAATTCTCTAAGACAGTTTTCTTCTGCAGAGGGAATGTAGTTTGGTAAAAGTAAGTTGTGTTTCTCAAGGGAAACGAAAAATTCTTGAGAATATTGGGATGATAGAGATACGTTTATAAATATTACATGTTACGACATTGGCGTTGTCCAACAGCTAAGTATATTATGTTTAGTAAACAACAAAAATTGTATGTATTCAATAGTAAAGGGAAAATGTTCGAAGAAGCGTTCTTGCACATCCTTTACGTCCCATTGTATATGATTAATCGCGATTTAAATTATGTACGTATGCAGGTGTGCGACTTTCCCCTTCTCCGAACTATGGAAGCAATTTAATTCTTGTATGCCTTTCTTGCCTATATAAATATATGGAATTCTGTCTGAAAATCTCACCATTTGGTTGCTTATTCATGGATACCGACAAACTACCAATGGATGAACAGAATAAAAAAATGCATTCCAAAAACGATCTCTTATTTGGCCGTCCTTAAAATAAACAAAATATTTAAAAATACTAATTTCCGATTGGAAATATTTAAACGATAACGAAGCTGCATCATCTCAAGTTATCATATAATAGCTTGCCACGTTTTGACAACAAGATGAAAAAAGGGTGTAACACACATTTATTAGCAAACTTAGGTAAAGCATCTTGGTTATCGTTTGAATATTTCCAGTCGGAGAACATATTTTTAAATTTTTCGTTTACAGTTAAACAGCTGAATAAAATGTTGCTCTTTAAAAGTGTATTTTTTTTATTTTTTCTATTTTTCAGTTTTTAATATTTATAATGTCGAATAACTAGTTTGCCAAGATCTATATAACTTTAATACACTTTCTCAATATGATTCCATTAAACCTCTACTTTATTTGTATTATAAAATTTTCTTAGATATAAATTGATGTTTTGCGGCGATTGCAATATGGAACTTAGAAAGACGTAATTCGCCAATCGTGTTTCTCTCATCAAGCCCTTCTATTTAATGCTCATACGATAGTGGCGACTATGAAAAATGTAAATCACCAATATGTGGCGGCTACCATATTGGATTAGAACGACATTAATATTCTTCATGTTTTTCTCTCATCAAGCCCGTTCATCTGATGTCGCAGGGATGACAATAGAATATGTAAATCGTAATCTTGCGGCAGCTGCCATATTGAATTTAGATTGACGTCACTTTGTTGTGTTTCTCTCATCAAGCCCATTCATTTGATACCCATATCATAGGGGTTACTATAGAAACGATTAGTCGCCATTTTTATGATCTGCTATGATTTGTCCCACACATACTGCGAAAGGTTGGTAAATCTTGAAACTGGAGATACTACAGATAAAAATATGTGAATTGACCTAAACATAATTTAGTCCAAAAGTTGATAGTTTACGAGATACATGGTGTCACAGTTACAATTTTATTTTCTGTTTTTCTCTATTGCTTGAGAAGTATCTCAGATTTTGGCATGAAACTCGGTGAGGGGATGTTTTCTAGCATGAGAAACAAGAATTCGTTATCTTTTATGATCAAACTTCTAGAGGGCCCCACTGGTCAATAACTCATCATAACTTTTTTGTGCTACCCTGTATACAACAACGGGCCGAAGAATCTTATTATATCGCATTTCCACAACAAAAAAGGATAATTTGTTAGAAGTATCTAAAGCTAACAGTTTCCGAGATATTTGCTTTTAAAGCGTTACAACTAGACAATCCGTACATTAAATGCGTATCAGAATATTCATCAAACGTATACTCCATGATGTTTAACAACTTATCGTTAACTTAAAATTATTCATAAAGTTTAAAGCAATATGATGACAAACATTAGAAACCATAGCAATACTACTCAGATAGTATCCAAAGCAACTTGATCATTATGTTATAAAAATGTCTTTCATCATGGTACAAATAATGCATTGGAACTTTTAAAAACAAATATCTCTAAAACAATTAACTTTAGACACTTATTTTATTGTGGAAATACGAGAAAATAAGATTTTTCGATCAGTTGTTATATACAGGGTAGCACAAAAAAGTTATTTACCGAAATAGTGCTTGTAAATGGCGCCCCCTAGAAGTTTGACCATAAAAAGTAAAGGATTCGTGTTTCACATACCAGAAAACTTCCCGATATCGATTTTTGTGCCAAAATCTGGAATACTTCGCAAGTTATAAGGAAAAATAGAAAATATCAACTTTTGGACTGAGGTATGTTTAGGTCAATTCACTTATTTTGGTCTGTAGCCAGTTTCGAGATTTCCCAACCTTTCGCAGACACCCTGTATACATACCTACACCTATACATACATGAATACACACATACATACATACTAACATAAAAAAGATCAAGTTAAATAAGAGCTTGTGAAAAGCACCAATGGTGCTTCAATCAGTGCACCGCCTTTACGCTTCTCGGCATCTCTAAAAATGCTATAAATAATTGCAGATTCCACATTTTTTGCTGGGTGGGCGTGAAAGTGTCATCTGAAACAACCCCTGATATCATGATTATGCATGATGTCGTCCCATAATAAAAGCACTCTGAATATTTATGCATCCGAAATGTTTGTCCCATCTGTGAAGGTATTTTTATTGTTGTGATTTTGCATGAATATTAATTTATTAAACTCGTATAATGGACATATGTTAGGATGATTTTATCAAAAAAGAACATAAGTATCCACAATCTTAAAAGGAGTGACATCATTTTAACATTATTCTGCCTAACCTTGGATGTTCCTATTTCTATTTGTAGACATTTGCGGTTTTCGCGATAACCTTGTACCCAGAATTACATAAGAGTAGTCAAAATCCAAATTGATCCACATGAGAAGACATCTGAAGAATTTCGAGAGATGATTTGAATACAGAGACACGCTTCTCATCTTGAACCCAAGACTGAGGGGTTTGCATGAGATTGAGTGGATTTTCGTGGACATTTTTTAATCCAGTGAGAGGAGATCCAAGACAATCTAAAGAGACTTTCTATCCCACGAGGCGGCACGCAGAGGTACCTCGTGTCTTGAAAAGTGACATTATGTCATTTTTTTACGTTATATAGGTTTTTTATGGCATTATTTTTCTACAAGATGTCAACTTAAAGCCTAGCTGTTGTTCACTTGATGTGCACTCGTTTTGTAACGATATGTGTTGCATTATGTTGCTTCAGCTGTCAATGTTTGGCTCTGATGTGATATAACAAGTTCTATACTATAGCTGGAAGTAAACGGCAGTTTATAGGTGCATAGTGAGGATTTGTGTGCTAATGATCCGTGTTGATAATTCCCTTATTTTTTTGTCTCAAATACTCTTTCTCGAAATGTATGGTTCATCCTAGAAATTACATATGTAAATTTGCTAAATTTCAAACATGAGAGAGACAGAAAAAAGAAAACCCCTGATTGGTGAAGTACGAGGGATGTCTTTTAAGTTTTGCATATGGAAATAAAACTTTATTGTTCTTCGAAGTATTCTCCACGAAGATTAATACACATCTGCATGCGCTCGAACCAATTTTCGAAGCACTTATTCCACTCGTTTGCTGGCAGATCCAATACGGCATTTTTGAATGCGTCAACTGCTTATTCTAGTGACTGGAACCTTTGATCACGCAGTCTGTTTTTAATTTTCGGGAAAGTAAAGAAATCGATAGGACTTAGATCGGGACTATATGGAGGTTGATCCAATAATTCTACGTTTTCTTCCATTAAATACTGCCTTGTTTTTTGGGCTGTGTGCGAGCTTGCATTGTCTTGATGCAGGATGATTCTTCTTTCGGGGTTGATTTTTCGAAGCTCGTTGATGACTTTTGGCAAACAAATGGTGGTATACCAATCTGCTGTAACAGTTCTTTGCTCATTAAGAGGAATTGTTGCAATATGACCCGCTTTTGACACAAATGTCGCGACCACCTTCTTAGAAACACTTCGAGAACGACTTTTGTTGTCTTTTCTTCACCTTGGAACATCCAAACAGCCGACTGTCGTTTATTTTCTGGTTCATAACAGTAAACCCACGATTCATCACCACTATCAATGTTGTACACATTTTTTGAGTTTCCGGAATTGAAACGGTCATGCGTTTTTTGACACCAATTAACCCTGGCTGCTCTCTGCTCTTCAGTCAACAGGTGGGGGTAACCAACGAGAAATTAATTTTCTTACTGCTAATTTTTCATGTAAAGTTTTTTGAATTGAGGTATTTGAGATCTTCAAGGACGCCTCAATCTCGCGATATTTCACGTGTCTATATTCAATGATGAGTTTGCGCACAGCATCGACGTTTTCCTGGGTGACTGCCGTTTTTGGTGCACCTACCCTGGGATCGTCGCTAAGACTCACCCGTCCAAATTGTCGGCTGATGTGGCGCTTCGTTGCCGAAAACAGACAATAACTCAGCAAGGCATTCTTGTTGCGATAATTGTCACTGAAAGTTGTAATCAATTATGGCGCGAAAATGCCCTCGGTTGAGATTCATTTTTTTTTCTAATGACTTGGTGACACTTAAAAATTCACTGTAGTGAGAACACTGCACGTGTTGTTGTGAAACTTTGAATTTAAGTGTACTAAAAAGTGAGGTTAAGATTCAGTACTGACGTTCGATCCGCGCGGCCTATTATGTTTCTGTATGCAAAACTTAAAAGACATCCCTCGTATAGTACAAATTACAACTGACAGGCGAGAAAATAGACTTATTGTACACACAGGAGTATTCATGAAAAGTGAAAAGACTATTGCTTTTTACATTATCTTTTATTTCCAGTCGTTCAAATTTGACAGAAATGTATTTTGCGAAGTCAAATAGAGAATACGAATCAATAGATGTGGGGCATTTGAAAATGTTTTGTGTGTAATGCGTTATTCCCAATTTTTCTGTGTTGTGGCTTAATTACACACATCGCGAGTAGAGTGGAGATTTCTCGAAATGCTTCTCAAAGACCCGGGGAAAATTGCAATGTATAACTGACAACACAATTAGTCCGTCTGGTACACCTAATAGATAAACTTCATGTGCACCATATTTGTGCCCGGTTTCTAGTCAAATACAATATCCATCAAATAGATAAAATCCAATTGTTTGTATGTATATAGCCAAATGATTTGATCACAAACGACACTTCGAGGTAGCTCCTGCTGGAGATGAGTTCAATAAGCCACAAGTTCAATGACTTGATAGGGACAGACCAATCTCAGGTTAAAACTCAGCAACCCCTGTAGGCGTGATAGTTGAATGTCAAATAACTGATTACTTACTTCGTAAAAGTTCGAAATTTCACCTAAATTGACCTTAAACTCACCTTCGCCCTAGCTAGCGGGAGGTTCCTATACGTGCCGTTTGAGGTCGAATCGCTTAATGCCCGCTACATACGTAACGATATATCGTAGCGATTTCAGACTGTGCAGTTAAATCGAAATACCCTAGCGTCTCCACACGCCACCGATATCTGCGTCGATCTTCAGTTCTCCGCAGAAGCTCGCGCAAGAAACATGTCATCCATGATGGAAGATGATGACGCACTTGCGTTATTGGGCCTGGTTATGTTTCTAAAGAAAAAAAGTAGCGGAGTGTGCGGTGCAAAGACAAAAAGTTAAGGTCAGTGTACTCTTGCATGGGACCAACTTCGAAATTGTGAAAAGCATCAGCTGTTCCATAGAAAAATTACAATTCAATCAAGCGAAATGCGAGGCGAAATGTATTGGACAGCTGATTTTTTTTTCACGACTCCGAAGTTGGTCCTATACAAGGAGTTGCTCGTATACATGAGTACATTGACCTTAACTTTTTTCGCGATGATCGAGAGTCACCCTATATAACCCAATAATGACGCGCTAAGCTTTGATTATTTCTTGATTGCGTATTTGGATAAATAGAGTTGCTATGGAAAACGTACTACCTTAATATCAAGAATGGATAAATGTATTTAGCATGTAGTAATCACACAATACCTATTGGAATATGTAACAATAAACAATAAATAATTTCTGAGAAATAAAGCCTACCTCATTTTCGTCCTCATCCATGTTCGATATCGATGGTCTCTGTACTTCTTGATCGTATAAAAAACTTAGCAACTCGAAGTACCATAAGTGAGGAGTATAAATCTCGTCAGTTCCTGCTCCGGATTTATGCGATTTTTTTATTATATTAAGCTCTTTTTTATATGCAGTTCTAAGATTATTAATCTTCTTAACCACTATGTCCCTGTTGGCATTTGGATCAATGTTTTTGTATTTTTCGACCGGCCTGTGGTAGGCGGCATTTTTTTTGTTGCGATCATGGTGCTCCTTATGCCCGCTACATACGTAACGATATATCGTAGCGATTTCAGACTGTGCAGTTAAATCGAAATACCCTAGCGTCTCCACACGCCACCGATATCTGCGTCGATCTTCAGTTCTCCGCAGAAGCTCGCGCAAGAAACATGTCATCCATGATGGAAGATGATGACGCACTTGCGTTATTGGGCCTGGTTATGTTTCTAAAGAAAAAAAGTAGCGGAGTGTGCGGTGCAAAGACAAAAAGTTAAGGTCAGTGTACTCTTGCATGGGACCAACTTCGAAATTGTGAAAAGCATCAGCTGTTCCATAGAAAAATTACAATTCAATCAAGCGAAATGCGAGGCGAAATGTATTGGACAGCTGATTTTTTTTTCACGACTCCGAAGTTGGTCCTATACAAGGAGTTGCTCGTATACATGAGTACATTGACCTTAACTTTTTTCGCGATGATCGAGAGTCACCCTATATAACCCAATAATGACGCGCTAAGCTTTGATTATTTCTTGATTGCGTATTTGGATAAATAGAGTTGCTATGGAAAACGTACTACCTTAATATCAAGAATGGATAAATGTATTTAGCATGTAGTAATCACACAATACCTATTGGAATATGTAACAATAAACAATAAATAATTTCTGAGAAATAAAGCCTACCTCATTTTCGTCCTCATCCATGTTCGATATCGATGGTCTCTGTACTTCTTGATCGTATAAAAAACTTAGCAACTCGAAGTACCATAAGTGAGGAGTATAAATCTCGTCAGTTCCTGCTCCGGATTTATGCGATTTTTTTATTATATTAAGCTCTTTTTTATATGCAGTTCTAAGATTATTAATCTTCTTAACCACTATGTCCCTGTTGGCATTTGGATCAATGTTTTTGTATTTTTCGACCGGCCTGTGGTAGGCGGCATTTTTTTTGTTGCGATCATGGTGCTCCTTAGATTTTGTCTGCCAAAGACGATAAAACTGTGCAAACGCGATCGACAACGATTTATCTTATAGAAATTGTTACTGCCGCCATGAACGATAAATCTGCAATGATTTTTCATACACACGATCGATAAATCTGCGCAAATCGGTTTGCACAGATGAATCGCTACGATATATCGTTACGTATGTAGCGGGCATTAGATTTTGTCTGCCAAAGACGATAAAACTGTGCAAACGCGATCGACAACGATTTATCTTATAGAAATTGTTACTGCCGCCATGAACGATAAATCTGCAATGATTTTTCATACACACGATCGATAAATCTGCGCAAATCGGTTTGCACAGATGAATCGCTACGATATATCGTTACGTATGTAGCGGGCATTAGATGCTTTATGATCATAAGAAAAGGTTAGTTTTTGTTTTCTTATCAATACTGTACCTGGTCAAAAACCGGCCTTATATACCGATAGTACTGGCAAACTAGGAAGCACAACAGTTTCGAGGGGAATCCCCGCCTTCTCAGCTCCAATACTGATTGCATTTCAACGGCATATTTGATTATTTTGAACTTTCCACTATTGATTGTCAATACGGAACAATTCAAGTGATTCCAAGCAAGACCATGCGTCAAAATACTTAGACGTTCTTTTAACACTGATGCTAAGGACTATATAGTATAACATCATGTATATCATACTGAGCACGTAAAAGGTGAGTGAAAACCCACCCAAACGAACAACAGTTACTCAGACATTCGCAGAGTGTTCCAAATAAAAAATGCATCACTCTCCATTAGGTCGCATTCGGTAGGTACATAATAAATTAGTTTGAATTCCAGACGTAAGACAAAATTACATAACGGATCGCTTATCCGAATCCATTAGTCCGATTATGGATGCAAAACGATGCGACGCACTCATATTTCATGAGACCGAAGACCCATCCGATGCTCTCTGCTCTTGATGAAGTCGTTATTGTCGACTCCTGTTAGTCCAGGATAGGAATTGCAATCTTGCAGCTCAATTTTCCTGAGAGATTGGTAGACAGGATTCATTGATCATCATCCCGCACTCTCAAAGTTGAATTGTACAGCACCAACTAAGAGAATTTAAAACTAAATTTTTATGTATATAAATAATGTGATGGTATTTCCAACACTCATGCTACATTGTTCTACACTCATACAGGTATATGGAACAACAAGAGTCAGCAGCTTCATTTAATTTCAGCAACATTCTTAATCATCACTCACAAGTACACTTGCGGGTACATCAATGAAGTGCCTCTCAAGTGTTTCCTAATGTACTCGAAATTGGCAACGTCATGATCAATTTAAGGCAAATTTCTATCGACCTATTTGTGGTTTTGGCATCTATGGTTGAAGTTACACAGATCAAAATGACTGAAAAAACGAAAATGCTGAATGCAAAGACATTATCGGATCATAAATACCGATGGTGTATCCATAAGAAAGACGCAAGAGGCCTAATAAAAAAATAAGCAACTTGTATACAACTTCCAGGACGTGATCCAAAGGATTTCCAAGCAACTGAAGAAGCTGTGGGAAAATATAAAACATAAGTGTGCTCAAAAATTAAAAATACGTTGGGTGTTCCACAGGGCAGTATCCTGGGACCACTTCTTTTTATTTTATACATAAATGATTTACCTGCCATAGTCAAAAATTGCAAAATTCAGATTTTCACCGATGACAAAGATGACTTGAAACTTGTCTCAAAGTGGTTAGCATCTAACAGACTAAAATTAAATGCAAGTAAAACGAAAGCCTTGTTAATCGGAAAAAAACAATGTACAAATGTTCAACTGAAAATTGATGGTGAAGATATTGAATTCGTAGAAAAATTTAAATATCTGGGGGTTTTTGTTGACTCTCGATTAATTTTTGATATTCATTGTGAAAAAGTTATAAATAAGAGTAGTAGTAAAGTGGGATATTTATCGAGAGTTTCTGGATGTCTGAGTTCATATAGCAGAAAAATTATCTATAACACCATCATTCTTCCAAATTTCTTGTACTGTTCGACTATTCTATATTTAGCAAATAATTCCATTTTTTAAAGACGGCAAATTTTACAAAATAAGTGCATGAGAATAATACTAAATAAAGATAAATGTAATCCAATTAGGCAAATGCTTAGCAAATTAAAATGGCTTAATGTAAAAAATTTTATCAAATATCTTGTAATGATATTCAGTTATAAAGTAAAAAATAATATATTT